CTTACAATGAAATGAAGCACAAGCCGAGCACAGCACCTGAGCCGGCGCAAGTCAGAAAATGCGACTCTGGGCACATAGCAGAAGAAGATGCGTAGAGATTGCCTTCCTGGTAGGCTAGAACGTTGTGCCTTCTTGCCCTTAAGAAATGATCAGTGGCCCATACTTGGGCCGGGGGAAGCTGAACAAACAGATCAACCTTAATCTAATCAGCTTCTTCTGAGGAAATAGGAGTACCATTCAAGGCTAAATGAGGCTTTGAATATTAGACGGTGGTTGCAGTGGGCATGTCACAGGTTTGTTTAATATCCAAGGGTGGATTACCCAGACTCATCAAGATACACTGCACACACACAGGCTTTTCTCGCCCCTTTTATATTGGGGTTCCTTTACTTATCAAATCAATATGCACAGTACCAAAAGTGTCCTTCTTTCCACCCAGGCATCCCACCAATAGAGTTTTACCCTAACCTATTTTCTATTGCTCAACTTACTCTTATACTACTCTAACTATTAAACTATTACCATCCCTAGAATATCTACTACTATTTCCAGGTACTAATGCTCCTGGCCTTTCCACATGTCTTGAGTACTACTCTCTCGCTTGCTTCCTTCTGCCTTGCCTCACCTCACCTCTCCACATCCAGCATACCAACACACCAAAACTACCACACCCAGCTGTTCTATACGTAGGGCTTTTTATACAATCTCTCCCCCATTCGGATGCTGGGGTGTTTAGAATTAAAGGGGCAGACACACAATTCCAGCTGCCTCTTTTCCAACCCTTTCTTCCACAGGGCAATTACATTACTGGACTGCATAAAAAATGAAATCAGCTCTGTTTAAGTCAAGGGAAATGGGGGTGGGGGGGCTTGATAGAATTCCAGCTATTCCTGGAGATTTTACCTATTGTCTATGAGAGGCAGTTCCAAATAGCACCGTTGACATTGATGAACTTCTCATTAGGTCACGAGAATACAGGGAAACTAAAGAAACAGTATCAAATGGCAGATGAATGTTTATCAGTTCTTAAATGACCTGCAGTCTTCCAAATAACATTTACATCTCAGTTTTAACAAAGAAAAATGGTGATTTATGGACAGGCATTTAAGTTCATGATTGCAAGATTCAAGACAGGACAGCTTATTTAATAAAAATATTTAGGGAGATAATTAAATTATCCAATTAATTGTAGGCATTACCACTATCCGCTGAATATACCAACATGAAAATTGTAAGCATTTTTTTTAAATTTCACCTCATATTTGAAATCTGATTTAAAACACAATATCCATGTATTTTGCTCCTTTACAGAGACTGTCTCCATGTACAAAACACATTCCTATGTACCAACTCTTGGTTCCCATGGAATGTATACAGTAAATGTAAATGCTTGCTACTTCAATTGGAGCCTGAACTGGTACCAACCTACTTAGGTTGAAAGATAAGGGTGCTGATCCTTGCTATCATGACCTCTGAGTTTCAGTTTTTCCCAGTGGATAGATTTGTTCAGGCTGCAACTTCATCCTAAGGTACTTGCCTAGGACAGTCAGCGTGGACCATTTTAGCAGACACTTAAAACTATTTCACTAACCAAACATTACCATCCTTGCCCATTAGATGCAGCAACTCTGATTAATCCTTGGATTATTGCTTGGAGAACAGGCTGGTAGCCAGATTCTTTGAGAGCTGAGAAGAATGGATATCTGTCGATATGAAAGAGGATAATACTGAAAATATATAAAGTTTACTTCATTTTAATAAAATATATTTTAGTACCCTGTTTTTTTTTAAGAATGGAAATTCAGAACACCTTACACTTAGGAGGCCCTCCTTCCATACCTTCTTAGCTTCACCAGTGATCGAAAGCTTACAGTTCCCAAGTGGATTATGAAACCTCCAAGGGAAAATGCATTTGCTGAATTTCCATGTGATGCTCCTTTTCTTAACATCTGCAGGGGGTCTTTAGGATAAAAACATGAAGGCAAACTTGGACAAAGAATCAAGCAGATATACTTTAGGAAAACTGTTTAATGTAAAGGTATCACAGATGAGACACTGGTTAATGACCATCCCCAAACTCTCGATAAGGACCCAATAGCAGAGCTTTCAATTCTTGTGTATAGATCCGTTTTGCAAGATCAGAGTATTTTAATCAAACTACTGCCAGGTCTCCTGTCTTCTGGATTGGTTTGCTGTGATGAGGCTACAAACTTCTTTCATTAGCCTAATTCAGTGTTTTTCAAACTTGGCAACTTTAAGATGTGTGGACTTAAGATGGCTGGCTGGGGAATTCTGGGAGTTGAAGTCCACACATCTTAAAGTTGCCAAGTTTGAAAAACACTGGCCTAAGTCATAGACACTGCTGCAAATGCAACTAACTATTCTTTGACTTTATAATAATCCAGCAGGGGAACTAAGAATGATCTCAGTGTGAGATAGAAAGAGTCTGATAACTCACATTTGACACTAAATAAAGGTAATTACCAGCCCCTATTCTCCTTGCAGCTTGCCTGTCATCTGCCTATTTCAGGACTGAAGTATAATAATTATTGTCAAACTAACCATTGCTCTAAGTGGTCTTGAATTTCTGCCACTCTGGAAATTAGGGATACCCTTTGCATACTGATACAACTTTTTGCTGTTCCATGGTGTATTTTGGCTTTGCCTTTATTTGTTTTACTGCAACTGTCAAGATAATCAAGACAAACTAATGACCCAGTGGCCAAAGGATCACCAGAGGACTGCTCAGTTGAGTCTGAGAATCATAATCCAAATAGCAGGGCAACCAACGTGTTATTCTTTCTGGGTATCCAGCTGAGATGAATGCTGTGGTTCCCCAAGTTTTTGCGAAAGAAAATGGATGCTTTAGCAAACAGTGTTTCTAAATTGCCAGGGACAGCAACCCAGGAGGAATGGCTGCATGAAAACAAAAACGAAACAGATGAGATGAAGGGGAACCACTGTCTAGTGGTCCTTGAATCTTGGGAAGGGTGACGATTTGAGAAAAACTCAAAGGGCCTACCGTGGAGGAACTGTGTCCATTAAAACAGTCTGTACCCAAGTCAAGTTCCTTTTTTGCCTTGACAACTCGACAGGACTTACAATTCCAAACACATTTACTGGAAAGTGAAGTCCTTTTAGCTCCTAACTAAGGGCCCCTTGACTTAATGGGAGTCACGTAATCCCTCTGTTGCTCCATTTTGCACTGTTTTATTGATTAATTTATTTCGTGCCCAGCTCTGCCTATGTGCAAAGAGGAGGAATGCTGTGGTTACTTCACGTTAGCATTGCTTCACCCTTCAAAAAGGCAAAAAATGACCACATTTTTAACTCAGTCCTATTATCAAGGTTTTATGACTAGAGTTGGGAGATTTCTATCATGCTCCTTTTAATGACTTCAAGGTGGAGAGGAAGGGCCTTGAACACTGAATAGCAGGACTTCCTGACTCATGCAAGCAAGACAACCCACGCACCAATGTTATATACAATCTCATTTCTCTATGAGTAAGGGACCTTGTCCCACGTCTAAAGAAAGGAGAGGTCACATACTGCTTTTTGTTTTGAAGGCTTTTTTCCCCTAACCAAAGTTAGCTGCCTTAACTTTTCTGCCTTTTGAAGTCAGCCATAATTAGAGCAACATGGAAGCAAGACAATGCAAGACTAAGATCCAGTGATATGGAAGAAAAGTTAAGATCAGCTAACTAGCTTAGCTTGGCCTAGCCCAGAGATATATACAAAGGCGAAGGAGTCTACCTGAGCCAGAACGGAACCAACAAGAAGGTGACAGAACAACTTCTGCATTGAACCTGAGAAATCGTGTGCACTCTGAAAGCGAGAGGGTGGGGTCAGGGAGCTTTAATGTTTAATCCCTTATCTGGGATGAGTTCTTAGCTACTATACATGTTCATCTGAGGAGGACTGCAACAGGCTAAGGAGATTCATGTGGCCAGGAAGACAGAATATAAACTGCAATAATGGATGGGACCCAGGAGGTGAGCCTCCTCTGCCATGGCACTCACCCTGTGGAACATCCTCCCCCCCACGCCCACGGTGAGACAGTTAGCCATCCTATTACTTGACTGATGCAATACCTTTCAAAACAAGCAGCTTGTACATTCTAAATGTTGTAATGCTGGGTGAGGAATAACTCAGAAATGGTTCTCAAATGCTGGACATCATTGTATGTTCCTATGCAGAACAGCAAAGGGGAGTGAAAACCATGGGCAAGATGGTCCTGGATGTTTCCAATACACTAATCTAAGGCCATAGCCAGCTTTGTCATCCCATCCATGTGTTGAATGCAGCGTAGTAACATTGAAAGCCAAATGAAACCTTATCCTTCCCCCACATTTTTTGAGGGGGGGGGAGGTCAAGATAAACTTTTGCTACAATGCTGTTTCCTATGCTGGTCCAACAGATCTGATCTGATTTAATCTGATTTGATTTGATATGATACTGTTTGTTGTTCTAGGCACATTTAAGCATGACACTGATTTACTGGAGAATTATGTAAAGTCTGTGCTACATTCTGCAGCAAAGCGTCTGGCTGATTTGTTTGAGTATGTATTTAAATGAGTGTGGGTTTTGCAAAGACATATCCCTGATAGAGCTGGGAACCGGTTCTCATTTCAGGGTTTGTCATCTTGAGCTGCTCATAGTACTCCTGATAAAGTAGATGTAGAACTTCTAATGGGAAAAAACCACAGAAAATGTCTATACATATTGTTCCAGAGAACAATGTGACACGCAATGGAACAAAATATGGATCCCATGGGCCAAACTTAACCATTTCAAAGGAGACATTCTAGGAGAAGAGCCACTTCAGTCTATGGTGGCAAAAAGTCTGAAGGAGTCTGGTAGCACCTTTTCCAACCGACAAATTTTATCCAAAGGCATACACTTTCTTGAGCAGCAGCTGCTTATTCTTTTCAATAAAATTTGTTAGAAAAAACTCTTTCTCATTTCAAAGGAGAAGCATTACATCATTTTCAACAAAGTAATTGGGTCCCACAGCCATTTCCAAGACTTCTAGCAATCCAATTCACTATTTCAATGAAATGATTAGAAATTATTCAAAGTAACTACAGCTTGGATGTATAGAGATCTTGAAGACCTGGCAGGTGGATTTAAGATTTTGCAGAGGGTCTGCTTAAAACCTTAAGTATTACTACAGCAAGGAAGTGACCGCTGGAGCATCCTCTGGCACTGCTGGCCAAATGAGAAAGGTGGCCTTCAAAAATGACCTTTGGCCAGTGCTCCTAACCATGGACCTGCCTACACCATCAGCTCGGTTTAGGAAATAGAATATCATTTTAATCTCATGCAGTAATGCCCTTCACCCAGAATGCTAACCTAATTTAACTAACAGAAAGAAACCATATTAAGTCTAACATTAACACAGCATGCTTAGACAAAAATATAAAGCATTTATTTGGTTTAGGCTTAACCACCGTGGTTTTTAAACCACCGTTTGTGGTTTAGCATGGTTTGTGAACACAGACCGAAGATACATCAGCTACTCTAGGCAAATTAAAAGGTCAGGTGGCTTCCTGCTGCCATTGGATGAATCCATGCCAGAGGAGCAGGTAGAGATGTCAGCTCAGATGCTAGCAAGCCTTGCCATGAAACAACTACACACCAGCAATCATTTTCAGCAGCCAAGTTCTGGTAGTATTACTGCCCACCAAGAAGCTAGGACTTTGCTTCAAATGGGTAGTTACTGATTCTGCAAAAATTAGGATTCCTGTCCTCATACTCAGAAGTAAACAAAACACCACAAGAAACACACAACATGCTTCTGTTAAGCATATAGAAGCCCAAACTTATGGGGACTTCTTAAATATCCTCCCTAGATACCTGATTTGCAAAATTTTCCCAGGGTGCAAGTTTTAAAAAAGAAGGCATAACAGAAAATCCTCAGTAAGGATCAATTAAAATTTTTGTTTCCTTTTAAAAGTAGGAAAAGGGCAGATTTGGAAATCAAGTGTCCATGAGAAAACCTTTCTGCAACCTCACCTATGAGTGATGGTATCAATCAGGTTCAAGATTCTGAATCTGAAGTGGCCTAACAATAAAGAATTATTACTACTCATTCCCAATTTTAAAAACACTGAAAAAGCAATGGCATCTTACATGCATTTAATGGGTTACAAAATGTAGCTTTTGTCTAAAGTAATTGATTGCAGTGAAACATTCGTCCAAATCTGAATCAGGTCCAAACATAATTTTTTATGCTTGATCTTGTGAGGTCCTAAATGACCTGTCCATGCATTGAAGAACCTACTTTAAAAACAGACTCTTGAAACTGACTTCCACAGAACACTTATAACCCTGGTGCAGCAAACCATAATTCATTACAAGAGTTGAAAGATGGGATATGCTAAGAGCAAAGCCAGTCTGTAAATGGAGACACCCAAGTAGCTATTTTAAAACAAAATGGAGAGAGACAGTGCTCTGTTTGCATGTCTCTTGGAGATGGATGGTTTCCCACTTAATGCCGGAAAGTATAAACAACACTCTTGTTTTTGTTTGCTTTGGAAGACTTTCAGATAAGTACTAAATAACAAGATCTGCAACAAATACAGCTAAAAGCCCAAACTTGCATTTAATCCCAAAGCCAACTTTCAGTTTGATTCAAGCCATGCCATGAAAGAGAGTGTGCCTTTTGTTTTGGGTATGGTTTGGCTTTGTATAGGTTTGTGATAAGGATTTACAAGAAAACTACGATGTTGGATGAGGCAGCTGGCAATAAACATCTGGCCTGTTAGATGGGAAATGGGACCCGATTGGTA